CCGCACTATCCTGCTCCTCTGCTACCCAAATGTCGCTCCCCAGATCAAAAGCGTCGAACAGATCGTGAGCGTGAAGAGAGCACTAGACAAATATCGCATGGATCATATACTGGAGCTGTTCGTCCAGATGGTGATCGCATCGCCTCTAATGAAAGAACAGGCACTGCGGATTTTCGCTCATGCAGTTTTCAATGGATGGAGGGCGTGGGGTGAAGCAGCCGTTAAGGAAGTGCTTGCCATTCCTCTCGATGATCCAGAATTAGAGTCGGAGGACCTGAATTACCTTGATGCCCTGCAATACGCCCGTCTTCGAAACTATCACAGGAAGTGTAGTCGAGTCGCACAATTAGATCCGAAGACAGCGCCCTGGCTGAAAGATAAAGGATCCGAGCTGTCGTTCCTCCATAACCTCGGCAACAGCAGTAGTTGTCGATGGTGTGGAAGTTATTTGGACTATATGCCCTCATTAGGACCATCCCGCACACATTCTTGGGTCACCGAATATCTCATCGCGGTGAAGACCGAGATGCTACGACGACCTCACCTAGAAATGGCTTTGGATGATGTTATCATTGCCCAAGCAGTTGTGCAGAGTATCTCCCAGTGCCCCCATGATGAATGGAAGAAAATTGCTGTCAGCCAAATTCACTTATTCGGGAAATTTTTCATGGAGGAAATCGACAAACAGATCTCGCAGGTAAGCAGAGCGATGCTCGCACAGCACCCCACCTGAACTTGCCATAGGTACCTTTGAACATTGACTGGACGAAGTGAGGAGTCGGGTGGACGATAGGGACACAAGTTTGAATGACTGCTACTAAGAAAAGAACCAGATTCTGATCGTCAAATACCACAGTTGACATTTATCGATGATCCGCCGAGCTATAGTATTCAAGTATTCCTCACGCGAAATGAACTGTACCTGTCAACCTGCCACGAAGAAGTCGGACCCGCCAATTTTGATCCTGTGCTAACCGAGGGGACGGAACGACTGAATGCAACCATTCCGAGTTTTACACAGTTTCCAGGACGAACTCTATTCCTTCCGTGGTCGAGTTCGGAACCAAGACGCGCCCCATGTAGGATTTCGTTCCGAGACTCCACCAGGTAGAGTAAGAGCGCATAAACCATACCCCGCTGAGATTACGTCTTACATAGCAGGCTCTTCCTCGCAAGGCCGGGCGGTGTCCGCTTATGATGGTCGTTCAAAGGGAAGCAGTCAGAATTGTGGCTGTGTCCTTATCAGTGTTCCGGCAATGTCGAACCAACTTCAAGACTTTATTCCTTTAGGACCTTTTGCTTTGCGAAGTTCTTCTCCCTTATCTCGCGGTGCCAAAAGACAGAGCCACAAACAAACACGTGTGTGAAAAACTCGTTATCGATCTTTTCCCATTCCCATATGCGCCTGTCTGATTGTCGAGTCCTTCCCGCTGATCGACGTAAGTGTTATCACTGATCCTCTCGGGGGTCGGTACGCGCATATCCTCTCGCAACTGTAGCATCAACCGCTATCTAATCACCGGTGATTCGTGAAATGAAACTGTATCGAACGTTCGTGATTCCATCATTTTTTTTGGGATCGCCATTGAACTTTCATCGTGCCCTTACTGTGGGCCGAAGTTGTCGAAGCCAAAACGTTTCTCGTTCCCCAAGGAAAACGGCGATTCGGGGATGATAACTTGCTAGCGCTGACTCAACCGTGTCAACCATTATTCAGAATCTGACGCTATCATCACCACCTATCTTGGTGGGCTGGACTCTCGGCCGAGACGCGCGGCGGTCCGATATCCGGTCGAGGTGGGTTTCGTGAGATCTCTTGGTGCACAAACATACCCGAGTCCAACTTGGACACTCGCGGATCCAGAAACAAAATGACAGGACCCACTCGTACTACGGATCGTCGGGACCGACGTCATAGTAACTAAACACTATGGTGCAAGACGTTTAGTCAAGGCTTCTCATGTGCAGTGGCCAATTTGGTCAAAAATTTTTTGGACATCCAAGATGACCTAAAATGACGATTTCCGAGGTCGAAAAAATTTGAGAAAAGTGTGATAGATCGTGATATATATCACGTTCCCTGCCAATTCTGTCACGCTTGGCCAAAATGGTTTAAGGAATATTTTATTTCTCCCACAGTTTTTACCCTATGAGAATTTTGTCTTGACAAAATGATCCTCTCATCAAAAGGATCATTTTGGCAAGAGGAATAAGAAATTGGGTCAAAACTGGCCTTCCTATTTTGGATTGCACATGAGGTGCGGTGACTAAGTGCCTTGCACCATAGACCTGTCGAGACGACACCAGGCACCCCAACGCCTCGTATGTAATCCATTCAAACCGGCATTCTATTCATGACCAGGGCCAAAGTAGGTAAGTAATGATAAAATGCTCTTGGGTGCACGTACGGTACCGTCCGTACGATACACGTGCTTTTCGTGCTGTGCTACTGTTGGTGGTACAATATCTAAAACAGATAATGAAGCAGTACAAACCAGCGTTGAGTGGAAAGATGAAGAAAAATATTGATTTATGTAAGTCGCCGTGTATGTTCCTCTTTATTTTACGGATCAGAGTGTCGATAGCGCCAACAACTAGTTCAGCACTGGCGTATAGCGAAGCAAGATTCTACGACACATAGTTGGTTAGGTGAATATCTTGCCGCAGTGATAGAGGTCCCGTCAGGACCCTCCCAGAGGTTGTTCTAGATAAAGATATCATTGCCCGAGCGGCCGCGAACAGCATCTCAGAGTGTGTCAGTGCATAGTGAGCCATGATTTCTAGTAGCCAGATCGTCCAATTCGCGACGCTAGTAGCCGAGGCAATCGATAGGGTGATTGCGCGGATGCGTCACTGTACATCTTCAGATGGATTTTCCTCGACCATAGGTGCCTCTGAACATTGATTGGACAAAGTGACAAGGGAGTAGTCGGGGACCTTTGCAATAGTCTAACCTTCTAACGTCGATAAGGCGTACACAGTATATGACTCCAACGGCCAGATACAAGGCTATCCAGAACATTGAACAAACTCAGAAAGAATGGCTCAAAGAACTCACAAAATCAGCAGCACCACTTATTACGCTTATGAATATCCACCAATAACGACATCGTCCATATCGGCCCACGAGAGACTCGCCACGTAGGGATTCTTGATGTCATGGAATCGCACAGGGTTCCGCTCCACCAAAGCCTAACCACGTTCCAAGCTAGCCGCACGCACTGACATGACGTCTTTTTAACCTCTTGAGGCTAAACTGCGATAATCTGATTGCGAAGCCAGGATCATGACCGTTCGAAGGAAGGACCAATCGTGGCTGTGCTGTTGGCTCGATCTGTGCCACGAGTGACATGCACCACTACCTTCTGGAACTGCCAAAGTGTCTGCTCGGGATCGAACTGTAGCTTTGCGACTCCACGGTACGCTCTCTAATCGATCTTGCGTCCTGTTTAGGTTTGCTAACGCCGAACGGAGCCGGGCGGTATTTCTCGGTAGTAAGCATACTCTTCTCCCTGCGAGATCCTTGGAAGTTATCTAATCACCAGCGCCAGGAGAAATGAAAGTGTTATCATACCTTCGTGATTTCATCTCGATTTGCCTTCTTGTTCAGTTGCGGATTTCTAGGTAATAGAGATGGTTGATCGCGCCGTGTTTCACAAAAAAAAAATGCTGATCGAGTTCATATACGCTCTTTTCGGCCGACAATTGATTGAAGATCGGACCGGTATCCGTTGGGTTTTACTCACTTTTGAGTAGGCCTGCTTCGTTTGTTGTGGATCGAGACTCTGATTGAATACTCGACCACCGAACAGGATAGGAGTTGTATCCTACGTAACCCCTACCACATACGGCTTCGCTTTGCCGAGGTACAAGCTCAATTGTGCGATCGTAAACCCTATTTGGGACATGACAGCTCGGAGGCCGGCAACCTAGAAGCCGATCCTTACTAAGGTACGCGTTCGCGTTATTTGGCAAAACCGTCCGTCCCTAATCGAACCTCTCCTCCCTGGACCGGAGATCACCCCTACATTTCCAATCTCTCCCTCGGCTTTGGCCTTGTAACATTTCAACTCAATGAAATCTTAATGGACTATAATAACGTACCACTCGCTCCACCTTCAAATTGGATGGCGCTCGCGGGAATGACCAGTCAGCACAGGAAGTTGTTGATAGGGATAGTATCGCTCCACCCATCTCGTAAAGGTGGGTGGAAAGGCCTCGTATTATTATCGTATCAAAGTTAAAAGTGACGTGGGAGCAGGAAAGGGTTGGTACCACGGTGCCCTGTATGTGTTATTGAGCGACCCTGCACCTCCATGCTTCGCTGGCCCTGGTTCCTTGGGCACGGAGTCCGCCGCTACGCCCATGCTCCCCGTATCGACTGCGCCGCCTCGTCTCAGGTTGCTATCCCTCCCCTAAGCGCGCCAAGTGCACGGGCTCTACATTCTTGGATCCCGCCCCCGGGGACACTAAACGTCCGAAAGTAGAGCATGTGCTCCCAAGTTCTAATAGATATTAGTATCCAAGTAATTGACATTAGTACGACAGGAATCCCACGAGAGATGATGACTATCTTTACGCTTATGCCTTACCGAAGATAGTTCTGACGTTGGTGGCTATTAGGCGATGCAACCAATGGATTGTACATGGAAAAGGCCCCAGAAGTTTGGCGTTTGGCGGAGTAGAATAATCGATAATCCACACGCAATAGAGTTTTGCGACTTCCGACTTCCTCTCCACCTGCACCGTGGCTCCAAAGACCGACGCCTCACGACGCTGACGGGGTTGTGTGGCGGTAAGGGAAAGAACACGAACGCGCGGTGATGCTTTTCTGACGTAGGTTCTTGATTTAATCAGTATTCGGTTATTTGAATGTTTTGCGAGGAATTAACTGGGAATTAGTGCCAATGGGGATCATTTGACGACCGGTAAGAACGTGGTAGAAATCGAGGTGCTTGGGAGAAGAAGTCTGGTGAAACCATTGGGTGATGCCTCCTCTAGGGGGCATAGCTCAGTTGGGAGAGCAACAGACTGAAGTTCAATGTAGCCCTCAGGGTGATACCAATCTTCTGGAGGTCCCCAGTTCAATCTTGGGTGCCCCCAATATCGTTTGCCGAGTGATACCTGTAAATTTTTTTATCACATATTACACATCCCAGGATGATCCTGTTTTCAAGTTGCCGGTAACCGTGGTTGGAAGCTGAACCAATAGGCTATTACTGCATTGTCTGGCTGGATCTCGCGTCAACTCGGGACCAAAATGACAACAAAGGATTCGAGCCAGTTGCGAGTATAGCCCCAAAGTGCCTAGAAGTACCGATCGCACGAATGACGCAAATATACAGGAGTCATTAAGCGTAAGGAGATATCGATATGGATCATCTTAAGAAATCTAGACAAGCGATCCAGAGCTGTAGTGTAACTACGGACTCGGAAGGTACATGTATGTGCCGGGAATGTTGAATACTATTAGTGAACGTGGGTTAAGACCACATCATAGGTCGAATAGGAGACGAACGTTAGGGCTCGTACTAGAGTCAGGGCCGAGAGACAGATGACGATGGGACTGCCCCATGACTTGTACGAAGATAACGTTCAAACTCAGTGACTCAGATTCATGTATCAACCATTCGGAATATCGGAATATGTCAAGTGAACCAAGTTCTATTCTGGTCGAAAGCCTATGCATCGGGCGCGCTACGATGGTTGGATAGTAGAAAGATAAAGATAATGTTCTTGGAAGAGTTCGTTCGTTCCTAAGCTATTCCCAAGATGCAGTGATAACAATAGATATTTCGACCGATTGGTTGGCTATGGGAAGTTGAGCGTCGTGCTGATATGCGGGAAGTCAATGAGTCGCTAGGAGAGCTAAGGATGCAGTCTTCATCGATAGACGTGAACAGCGGTGGTCCTGCTTTGAATAGAAAAGCGTCGTTAATACGAATCCGACTGGGAGTGCAAAAAATACGTGGGTCAGGGAAGTCTCACGCGAAGCCCGAGAGTTGAACGGCCAATCAATGGGGCGTGATATCAGCGCAGTGAAATACACACTGCATGCGAGAAGAAGATATGGACGGTAACATGGCTCCACGTAATGAGATAAAGGGTCGTCAAGAGGGGCTAAGCCTGAATTCGTGACTTCGATGCATGCGAAAATGCTTAGATGTTCGTATGTTACAGGTCCTTATAGGTACGTGGTCTCACCTGTAATCAATGGAAAGGTACATAGCGAGTTGAATACAAGCAATATCGGAGAAACCACGACGTCGATTGACGTAGAGACAAACAGTTGCCAGGGGAGGATGGCGAGAGAGGATCACACAAAGTGGGAGCGTGAACCCGAGGTGGGAGCAGAAGGATCAGCCGAGAATACCAAGATTCTGAAGGGGTTGACTGCGGTTCGCAGGAAGATGTGATGAACAGGATTAACCACCTTGAACGAACGAACGTGTCGCAGCGGTAGAATGGAGGCGGGCTGGCGGGTTTTTGACATGTTTATATTTAAATAAAAAGCGAACAGTGGGTGAAGGACGTGTCCGATAGGCGCAGGTGGGGTCCGTTACAGTTCTGCGCCGAAGAATCGGAATAGAGGCTACTTATAGCCAGCAGCGAGACAATTGAGTAGACGAAGCTAGTTACTGAGGCGTATTACGAGACGTGATTGTGGCGACGGTATATTCTGCGGTTGCGCAACTCATGAGCAGTATTTTAACGTGAATGTTGTGTGAATAGAAAAAGCATACGCAAAACTGATGGGGTAATACGATCAGATAAGAAGACATAAAAAGTGCCAAAAGGGGATATACACCTAGAGCGCGGCTGAAATTTTTGATGCTGTGCCGAAAGCCGACCAATGAGATCGAGGAAATGCCGGGAGATAAGACATGAGATAGGATCGGGCGACCCAAAAGGATCGGAGATTGGCAAGTGGAGCCTTGAAAAGAAAAGAGACTGAATCAAAAAGTGGCCGCATCCGCTGGTTGACGATAACTACCACCCTCCCCCGTCCCCCGTATGCCCTACTCGCTGCCTACCCCCAGCGCAGGCCGTCCTACTCACCGCCGTTCGTATACCCATTCTTCAGGCGCCTTTGCGTCGCTGGGCTCACTGCCACGGGTCCACCGCCCCGTATTCCACATCCAGAACGACTGTTCTTCCGACGACGACGACCATGGTTTGCTCAGCTCGCCGCCGAAAACATTGCGGCTCGATACTCGCCTAGCGGTGCCATTCCCACGAAGCTCGCCCTCGCCTAGGAGCCCCAGCCCAGACGTTCCCAGCCGGCCGTCTCCCCCACAGCGTACCAACTCGACCCCAGTTTTGCTGTCCAATGGTCGCCCACTCAAATCTTCACTCAAGGGGTCACCTCGCTCGTCCTCAGTCCCAGATATGCCTTCACTATCTATCCAACATACCCGTGCTCGCTCGGCCCCGTCTACGCCTGCACTATCTTCTCACGAATCTCACTGTCACAAAAATGTTCATTTCCCTACTCACCAGCTCGAGACAGTCCGTGTCTTCAACAGGTCTGCGAAACCGGCTTCGTTGCTTCGAACTATACCCGCTTCGGACGCAGAGACCGAAACCGAAACCGAGGTCGAAGGTTCTTCGCGTCACACAGAGGGTCCGCGGTTCCCTTTTCCTTTGGTTCTCCCCTCGTACTGCCTGTCTCCATTTACCGACATCGTTCCAAGCCCTACTACGCCAAGAGAGGGAAGCAACGTGATACTCGAGTCCTTAACTCTTCCCCAGTCGACCCTGGCTCTCAAGGGCACGCTGCTCGTGCGCAACATATCGTACGAGAAGCAGGTCTATGTCAGGTTCACCCTCGACGATTGGCAGACGACGTCTGAGGTTGCTGCTCGGTATCAAACCTCGTTGCCCTCGTTACCCATCTTATCCAAGACAAACCTCACTGTAGGTGACCTTGCAGCAGGTGTCGCAGCAGGAGGACCTGCCGTCTGGGACCGCTTTGAATACACAATCAAGTTGGAAGACTACGCTTCGAGCCTTATCGACCGTACCATCTTTCTCGTAGCGCGATATTCTGCAGGTGGAGGGGAATGGTGGGATAACAATGCTGGGAAAAACTATCGTGTGGCCTTCGTTCGGAGTCCCAACCGTGAGTTTATACTATTCCTCCCGTTCCTGCTTCTTCATTGATTTCTTCGACAGAAGCATCACCTTCAACGGTTGAGAAAGCCCATGCACCGGCAAAAGCTCCCTTCATACGGAGTCCCAACCGTGAGTCTATACATTTTATCCTGTTCCTGCTTCTTCATTGATTCTTCCACAGAAGCACCTCCTTCAACGGTCGAAATAGCCCACGTACCGGTAAAAGCTCCTCTCGAGAGTTCCGTTCCATTTCCCACACTTGCTACCTCCTCACCATTGAGTCCGCTATATTCTACCACCTCGACACCTTCCTTGTCACCTTCACCTCCTTTGCCAACCGTTCCGGTCCCTCCTCCTCAACATAATCGGGCGCAGTCAGAAGCGACGCTCCAGCATCGTCTCAAAGGATTCAAGCTCGCCAACTATGCCAAGCCCAATGCTGTTCCTACGCAACTGAGTCCGACTTCAGAGAAAGCAGAGGGCGCCGGTGTGTTCTGGTTTTGGGGCTCTCACAAGCCGCAAACGGATACGAGCTCCCCAGTTCATTCCGACGGGGATGGGGACGTGACTCCTGCTCTATCGAGAGGCAGCAGCTCCCCGTTGGACTCTCCTATCGAGGAACGTTCCAATGCATTAGAAAACGTGCCCGTGTACGTCGAGCCGGCGGGTCTTCCCGTTCCTTTCTCGATGCTCAATTCAGACGCTATCGAACCTGAACCCAAGCCGAGATCGCGATCACCGTCACCGCCGCTAACCCCGACACCGCTGGCATTACCACTTCATTCTCCATCCCCTCCTCCGGGTACCCCTTCACCCCCGCCTATATCTACGCCGCGAGTGGGTAAAAAGCCACCTAGTCCCCCGTCTTCTTCGGAGGACCTGTACAAGGCCTTCTTGAAGCAGTGGTGCTTCGTCGGCGCTGCTGGAGGCGCCGGCGAGACGATGATAGGCGCATAGAATGGTGAGCACCACCTTGCCACCCACCCAACATTATAAGACCGATCGCCATACATACACGACGGCTTCCATATATCATCAATATCTTTATTCATCTTTCCACACAACGCTGGTTTGTATTATCGTTTTTAGACATTGTACCACCAACAACAGCAGCGCGGATGGACGGTTCTCGAATCTCGTGTTTTTCCTCTTGTGTACCACTTGTTTTGTACTACTAGTTTGCAGTTTGTTACTCACTCATACTTACACACCATACCCCCTCACCCAACCCACGAAAAGCATGTATCGTACGGACGCTACCATACGTGCACCCCATCGCATATTATCATTACTTACTTACTTTGGCTCTGATCATGAATAGAATGCCGGTCTGAATGGATTACATACGGGACATTGGGGATTTTCACAGCTGAAATGGTGCCTGGTGTCGTCTCGACAGGTCTAGTACGTAGTTACTATGACGTCGGTCCCGACGATCCGTAGGACGAGCTCCTTTGGTCATTTCGTTTCTGGATTCATGAGTGTCCTTTGGTGGACTCGGGTGTGTTCGTGCACCAAGAGATTTCACGAACCCACCTCGACCTCGACCGGATATCGGACCGTCGCACGTCTCGGCCGAAAGCCCAGCCCACCGAGATAAGTGGTAATAATAGCGTCAGATTCCGAGTCTGAATAACGATTGACGTTGAGTCAGCGCTAGCAGCAAGTTATTCATCCCCGAATCACCGGTTTTCCTTGGGGAACAAGAAACGTTTTGGGTTCGGCAACTTCGGCTTAGGCCACCATGAAAGTTCAATGGCGATCCCAAAAAAAATGATGGAATCACGAACGTTCGATATGCTTTCATTTCACGAGTTACCGGTGATTAGATAGCAGGTGCCGTTACAGTTACGCGTACCGACCCCCGAAGAGATTGACAGCCTTACGTCGAGTAGTGGGAAGGACTTAACAATCAGACAGGCGCATATGAGAATGAGAAAAGATCGATAACGAGTTTTACATACACGTGTTGTTCATGGCTCTTTCTT